ACAGATGTCCCTGAATAGCTACGTCTGTGTCTTGCACGGAAATCTACTCACTGGCACCAAAACGAGGTGACCCAGAGAAGCTTAGTTAGAAGACTGTGGACTGTACTGTTTTCTACTGCTCAAGCCAGGTGCGTTTCCTGGGCATTTTCTTTTCATCTTCTCCATCAATATGAGAGGTCACCATACATTTCTGGCAAAAGATGTTCTCAGAAGACCAGTAAGTTTGTTAAATGAAGCCTGGCTCCGATGCATGCAATGTCCTCTGCTTCCAAGGACTTTGGAACACAGTCCCTGACAGGAGACCATGCCCTAAAATGTGGTGGATATGAGAGAGGGAACACACAGCAGAAAGACAGCTTGTCTGAGACCGGTGACATGCCTGTGGTGGCACAAGGGCTGTGTTCACATCCCTTGTGCTATAATAAATCATCTAGGCATCCAAGCTTGACAATTCTGGCCTAACTTCAGGCACCTAAAGAGAAGTGGCCTAGATTTCACAGAAGTGCAGCATGCTAGAAATTCCCACCCACACTGTCAGAAGCTGCTTAGCTAAGGAGGGGCAGAAAGAGAAACTGGCTACTTCAAACTGCAGCCCCCTTTTCTCATATACACCAAAACTGGCCTTTTTTCCCCCTTCCACTTCCCCAACCCCCTTTATCAGCTCCTGGATAAAGATTTTAGTCTTGCACTTTGAATCTTTTGTTCAACCTAATAAACTAGTTTCACTCTTACAGGGCAAACCTGAGAACAAGGCATCAGGCAGCCTAAGACTTCCCCCCGATGGCCAGATAGGAATATCAAATCAATGGCCACTCTCAGCCTCCCGATCCCTGTAAAAAGGACACAGATGTGGAGCCACTACATTAAGTCAATCTCTAGTTGCTGAAGGAGGTTACCAACAGGCACAGTATAAAGAAGCATTAAAATTGTGCCATAGCCCTAGTTCCAACACCCAGCATCTCCAGGATGGAGGGGGATACCAGAGCATGCACAATGGTGACTGGAAGCCATTGTCCAGATGGCGCTAAACACAAAAGGCCCTTCCCAGAGAACATGCACTAGTGTTCATGTATAGGAGTGGGCACAACTTGCTGTCCTGACACTGACTGACACATCTGTGAAAAATGACAGACTTCAGTGGCTAATTTACTGGCCAGCAGTTGGAGGAAGTGGTTAGAATATTGACTCTCAAATTTCCCTTGAAGGAAAGGTATATACAAAATACAAATCAATACTGGCACAATATAGGATGAACATAAGGGAAGAATGGAATTTTATACAGTTTTTTTTATAAAACAGTCTGATGATCAGGCTTCCTGTCACATCAATGATTTATGAATCTGATTCCCTGTACTGCAGGAAAAGTTACACCTCAGGATGTGGGATCTCATTTCTTGGTGATGAGATCAGGAATTGGTTGTGGCCGAGAGACAGGTGAAAAGAGATCTTTGCCTTTAAAAGCTCAAGTGTATTTTGCGGTCTAGACAGACCACACTGTTTCCTCATCATCCCCTTCCTGCTACATTTGAGTGCTTGCATTTACATGAACTCTGTCCTCCTATCAAACTACAAAGCAGTATAAAAATGTATGCCACATCTCCCATTAGCAAGATGACGCATTGCAGAGTATATGATAGGAATCCTCTGGGAATGCTTTGGGACCAGAAATGGAATACTGCACAGATGGGATTGTTGGGTAAGGGAATTCCCTCTGTCCCATATAAGGCTCAGAGTATTTAGAGCTCTTATATCGATTTGCAAGATCAGGCCACTTTACTTTCTAAATATTTCAAGTCTAGGCAGGATAAAATAGACTTTTATTTCATTTCATCAAGTATATTTGTATAGAGATGAGTGTGACTTTTGTTGGTCCTTGTATTTAATTTAAATGTTGAATATACAACATCTAAAGGATAGCAAGAGAAGTACATAAACAGATATATAACACAAGGAGAAGACAGACTCCTTCACTTAAGTGTTAATGGCAAAAATTCAGAACTTTGTTTATCATGTAGCTTTTCTTATTCCTCAACATCAACATTTGGGGTAGAGAGAGATCCCTACAGGAGCTTTGGGGGCAAACCTGCTGTGCAGCCATGTTCAAGTCTCTATCCTTCAACCTTTCTTCTGTGGTTTTTTTGTTACTCTTGAGTAGATAACGTTCAAGGTCACTCTTTAGTGAGCCAGAGGGTCATAGTAATGGATAGAAGTCACTATACTCCTCCCCTGCAGCGCTCTTAGCTGTCAACAGCCCAAGAGGCACAGGACTGGAAATCAAGGTGATAACGCAAAGGCACACAAGACAGGTGCCCAACTCCAGGTGAAAGTCAATGGGAGCCAAGGACTGAATTCCTACTTGTGCCTTTGAAAAACTTTCCCAAACTTGCACCTTTTAGTAGACAGTGCAGGATAGTAGGACTAGGACTCTGGGCTCACTGACTGGACCAATTGCTTAAATTTTGCTCATAAATTCATGTACTGCAGTGATCATTTCCGTATTTGCAACTAAGAGCTCAAGGAAAGACTGTCAATTTCCTCTCTCACCCCACACAAATAATGAGAAGCATGAATGAATCCCACTAAATATTCCCTCTGCCCTTTCCTGCTTGTATAATTGTATACTTTGTTGCTGGTCTAATATTTTCTTGCTCCTTGTATAGTGGAAGTATATTTAATGCACAAGAAAATAAAATGCTACAATTCCAAAAACACTCCTACTGTGAAGTAACAGTACTAGTTTTAAAAAAAATTGACATAAAATCATAGAAAAGTAAGGCTGGAAGGGACCACAGGAGGTCATCTAGTACAATCCCCTGATCATCCAGCCAACCAAGACAAGCATTTGTCAAACTACTCTTAAAAACTTCATGGGGAACCCTCTCATATAACTGAGACACACAATGCTCAAAATATCAAAATACCCTAACTTGCTGCAAATAAAGTAGGGTGATGAAAACACTGCCAATGCCCCGCTACTGCAAGGACAGGAGCAGTTGTTCAAATATGCTCAAGAGATCCAAGGAAGATGACCAGTATACGAGAGATGCAATATAAATAGCAAGATGTACAATTCATGCATATTTGTGCTTACAACTGAAAACATTTAGATTTTTTCTTTATAACTACTTTTCATTAAATAAGAGTTCACTGATAAATACTAACACCCATGTGAAATATTCTGTGGCAGACTAGAATTATTATTGCCCCACTATTACAGGTGGGGAAACTGAGGCACAAAGATTACTGAAACATGTCACATTGCATACCTGTTACACAGCTGGAAATAAGAACTCAAAAATTCTGAGTATGAGTTCTGTGTCATGACCACAAAAATCATGCTCCGTCCCTTAAAGTAGGAGAACATTTGCTACTTCAGGGCACCAGCAACGAGATGTAGAGCCTTTCACCCAGGTTTCTCTCAATCTAGCTCAACTTTGCAATGGCTAAATGTAGATATCATGCGACAGCCTCTTCGTACTCCAACTGGAAGTCAAATTCTTCATGAGATGGCTAAATTGCTGAACAACCATCATGACCCTCCTATCCATTTTGCTTCCCCTACTAGGATTCACAGCAGAAGGACCAGACCGAATGGGTTTAACACACCCAAACTGTCTACTTAGTCATGCATAGGAGTCAGGGGTGGATTCAGTGGGGGTGCAATACCTCAGCAGCACCTCCCTTTTGGACTGTACCAAACCACAGGAGTCTCTGGGGGCTTTTTTAAATCTCCAAAGCAGGTCAGAATCCCCCTGCTCTTCCCCTCTGTGCTCAAAGACACATCCCCTTCCCCACCCCACCCCACCCCACTGCTGCTGCTTTCCCCACTGTCCCAGAGGTAGAGGAAGCTTCAAAGTACCTCTGCCTTGCTCCAGCCAGACTATGTATGGGCTGGGCTCAGCTGGGAACAGGCACAGCAGCAGCGAGGATGGACTAGGGGGTGGGAGATGCCCACCCCCACCCCGGGAGCACCTCCCCCCTGGCCCATCACCACTGCTGCCATTACTGCTATTCCCATTTGAGCTCAGCTTCCATGCACCCTGGCTGGAACATCTTGGAAGCTTTCCCTGCCCCTGGGACAGTGGGGGGAGAAGGGGACAGGACATGCCTTTGACCATAGCATGGAGGGCAAGTGGGGGGTGTTGAGGGTGGTTATTACTTTATTAAATGCTTTGG